GCAGCCGCACACCGCGACGCCACGTATCGGCACGGCCGGTATTAGATGGGCGCTGACATTTTGCGCACTAAATTTCACATTTCTGTGCGTGGATACGTTCTTTTTCTCTTCTCATCTCATGCATATTCATTCCCCCCTGAACAACAGTCGAATCGATAACCAGGATTTTTGATTGTACCTCTAGGTTCAGTTAATCAAGCTCGTTCCAAAACTATATTATTTGTCCATATTTGTTTTTGCCAAAATATTCTAAATGCGATCTGAAAATGACCTTATTTGTCACTTTACGACACTTAAAATTCAAAGTTTTTTTTAAGTTGTCATGGCAATAAAATACAATTTTTTTTAATGATCTCATGTATATATTTTGATTGCTCATCATTTTCTCCTCAAATTGATCATTTGGTTTTACAAGTCTCGTTGGGCAGATTTTAAGCTACGAGTCCTCAAAGATAAGGTAATTTTTTCCAATTTCTCCTAATTTCACACCTTTCACCCGAAATCGTAGTACATTATTGAATATGGAGCAAGATACGAGAATTGATAGTTATCATACAATTTATTATGATATTTCTGATGATTTAATTACCTAGTTTTGCAGATTTATAACGTGAAACAAATACTAAACTGAGTTTGAAAATACAACAAAAGCAGCTGATTTATATATTTAGCGTGTACGCGAACACGTGTAGCCCGCTTCGGTCAGGGTAGTGTAACGCCACCCTACCGTTGTGTGAACAATCCCACATGCAGCTAAATGTGTCTTGCGCACATTTGGAAGCATAAACACAAGTTTAAAAAAATATTAAAAATCGCTCGAATTGAATTTTATCATGACATTTTTAGATTATGTTTCTTTAGAATGTTGTTTTTAGATATGCACATGTCACAAGATTTTTTTTCTATTAGATTAAAAGAAAATCAAATATTTCTTGAGCATGGTCAGGGGAAATTTTTTATCGCCTGATGAGTGATGTGTGTTATGTTATTAACTGAAGCTGAGCCAGGTGTAGACCGAAAGCTATAATCGTCGGTTGTTCCACTGAGACTACGTCTGGCTCCACTATAGACCTATAACCGGAGGTCTAGTGGAGCCAGACGTAGTCTCAGTGGAACAACCGACGATAGAGACTGAAGCTTTCGGTCTACACCTGGCTCAGCTTCAGTTAATAACATAACACACATCACTCATCAGGCGATAAAAAATTTCCCCTGACCATGCCCAAGAAATATTTGATTTTCTTTTAATCTAATAGAAAAAAAATCTTGTGACATGTGCATATCTAAAAACAACATTCTAAAGAAACATAATCTAACTAGATGGAATTCGACTGCGCGCAGTCGAAAATGATGCCTCCGTCATAGAGCAATTTTACAAACCAAAACAGAAGACATTTTTCGAATTCAAGTTCAATTGTAATCCATTAACAGGTTCTCAGAATATCGTGATTACAAGCAATTTCTCATATACATATATGACCCTTTGATCTTTGACCTCATGACCCTAAAATCTACTCAGTTCATTGGCTCTGCAAGATGTCCTGAGTTAAATAGTAATCCATCTGTCAGTTCTAATGAGAATGTGTTCACAAGCTATTTTTGCATACATAATGAGCCCATGACCTTTGACCTTTGATCTTATGAACCAAAAATCTACTCAGTTCATTGGCTCTGCAAGTAACATACATGACCTAATTTTGGCAGGAATCCATCAATCGGTTCTTGAGAACGCGATCACGAGCTGTTTTTGCATACATAATGTGCGTTGTGGCCTTTGACCTTTGACCTCATGACCCCAAAATCTAATCAGTTCATCTGCTCTGCAAGTAACATACATGACCTAAGTTTAGCAGCAATCCATCAATCGGTTCTTGAGATAACGCAATCACGAGCTGTTTTTGCATACATAATGTGCGCTGTAGCCTTTGACCTTTGACCTCGTGACCCCAAAATCTAATCACTTCATCGGTTCTGCAAGTAACATACATGACCTAAGTTTGGCAGCAATCCATTACTCGGTTCTTGAGATAACGCGATCACGAGCTGTTTTTGCATACATAATGAGCCATGTGACCTTTGACCTTTAACCTCATGACCCCAAAATCTAATCAGTTCTTTGACTCTGCAAGATACATACATGACCAAAGTTTGGCAGGAATCCATCAATCGGTTCTTCAGATAACGCGATCACGAGCTGTTTTTGCATACATAATGAGCCCTGTGACCTTTGACCTTTGACATCGTAACCCCAAAATCTAATCAGTTCATCGGCTCTGCAAGATACATACATGACCAAAGTTTGGCAGGAATCCATCAATCGGTTCTTCAGATAACGCGATCACGAGAACGGGACGTACGTACGTACAGACGTACGTACGTACAGACGTACGTACAGACGGACGGACGGACAACCCGAAAACATAATGCCTCCGGCTACTTCGTAACGGAGGCATAAAAATGTCATGATAAAATTCAATTCGAGCGATTTTTAATATTTTTTAAAACTTGTGTTTATGCTTCCAAATGTGCGCAAGACACATTTAGCTGCATGTGGGATTGTTCACACAACGGTAGGGTGGCGTTACACTACCCTGACCGAAGCGGGCTACACGTGTTCGCGTACACGCTAAATATATAAATCAGCTGCTTTTGTTGTATTTTCAATCTCAGTTTAGTATTTGTTTCACGTTATAAATCTGCAAAACTAGGTAATTAAATCATCAGAAATATCATAATAAATTGTATGATAACTATCAATTCTCGTATCTTGCTCCATATTCAATAATGTACTACGATTTCGGGTGAAAGGTGTGAAATTAGGAGAAATTGGAAAAAATTACCTTATCTTTGAGGACTCGTAGCTTAAAATCTGCCCAACGAGACTTGTAAAACCAAATGATCAATTTGAGGAGAAAATGATGAGCAATCAAAATATATACATGAGATCATTAAAAAAAATTGTATTTTATTGCCATGACAACTTAAAAAAAACTTTGAATTTTAAGTGTCGTAAAGTGACAAATAAGGTCATTTTCAGATCGCATTTAGAATATTTTGGCAAAAACAAATATGGACAAATAATATAGTTTTGGAACGAGCTTGATTAACTGAACCTAGAGGTACAATCAAAAATCCTGGTTATCGATTCGACAGTTGTTCAGGGGGGAATGAATATGCATGAGATGAGAAGAGAAAAAGAACGTATCCACGCACAGAAATGTGAAATTTAGTGCGCAAAATGTCAGCGCCCTGGTAATGTCGAGACGCGCGTGCATACGGCGAGCCGTGCTGATACGTGACGCACACACGATATCTCTATCTAATTCAGATTCCAACTTCCGATCACCGCTGTGCCCGTCTTCGGCCAGGCGAGCACCAGGGAGCTCCGGCGTGGGATACCTGCTCCGCCCGCTTGTGCTGTACATCAGCGCGGAAACGCACGGCGCGCGCGAGCGCTTCCTATTGACTTTGTACATGCGGCCGTAAACTGAAACGCTCGGCCGATAACGGGCTCCAAAACAGTGAAAATTGAAATGGATATTGTCATGGCAATTCGTGATTTTTTTCTGGGATTCTTTTTTTGTGTAAATAATAATAATATTTGCTTCATGATTTGAACAAGAAATGATAATAAATAGGAAGTAAAGAGTCCTAAAAATAGGATTTTGTCTTAAGTGGCCGAAAACGGGCTACTTTACTCTAGTCTAGATCTACCCATCAAAAGAAAGGAAAAATTATTCCTCTAAGCTAACAGGATTTTATAGACCTCTAGTCTAGATCTAACGTTAGGTCTAGACCTAGACCCTAGTCACTTAAAATAAAGAATGATGATAAGAAAAATGTTTCCGAAAGAAGACGGAGCATTTTTCTGCCCAGAATTCGGTCGCGCCGATACTACACAGCTAGGATAGCTAGCGCTAGTGTAGACAGCAATAACCATCTGATTTGGGTCATTTCTTTAATAAAACTGACATTTGTTGTCATTCCCCAATACAGATGGCAACCCAGAGATCTCGTACCGCGGGGGTAGCTATAGCCAACATTGGCAGCTTTTTGTGTCAAAAAATTTTCTCCCCGATTTTCTTTATTTAGATCTAATTTTCTGATTTCTAAATCAGATGTAAATTAGGTCGGTATGTCATTTGTCCTAATTACAGTTATCAAAATTTGATAACTTAATATTAAATGTATAATTTACGGACTTACTTATATGAATTATCCAATTTGTATTTCCGAACTGTGAAACGGTACGTTCATGCATTCGAAATATTACCCGGCGGCCGATATATTTCCGGGTCCACCTACCAAAACATAGCCAAATGGCCAATCAGAGCACTCGTTTCGTGGGAGTTCGTTGGTCAAGCTGGGCCGACTCGTACGTAGCTACGGTAGCTATTGGACGTTCGAAAAGAAAAAATGAATATTCATCAACTAAAACCAAGACGGATAATGTTGACGACGAGACTTTCTCGGATTAATCATTAATTTAGGATCTAAATGAGCAAGCTATCGTAAGTCAAATATTATAGAATCTAGACTAGACCCTATGTTATTTTTAATTAGACTCTAAATTATTGTCATATTGCAGCATGTATGAGGATGTAAAGAGTGAAAATCTCGTTGCATATCTCATTCATCGCGGTCCGGTCGAACCGAACCATTTGTTCCGTACAGTGCCTCACAGAAAGAGGTCCCCAGACTTCAGTCTCTATAATCGGAGGTCTAGTGGAGCCAGACGTAGTCTCAGTGGAACAACCGACGATTAGAGAGACTGAAGCTTTCGGTCTAGCGCTAGTGATGCTCCACGAGCTAGACCTATGTGTGGGATAGTGATGCTCCTATGTGTGCCAAGGCCTATGGTCTACTAGGCTACAGTACAGTACTGTAGCCTAGCATGCCTAGTCTCTAGAGTAGACTAGATTCTAGAGACACTCATTCTAACTTTAATTCTAATTTCTAGGCTATTCTACTTCTAGAACGATTGAAGAACATTAATTTACCCATCACTGAGCCTTGGATGTTTGCTTGCATACATCACCATCAATGCAAGAGAGTTAGAAGAGAATCACCGGAAACATTACAAAAAAGCTGACAAACGATGCTCCTTTACACACCTTTTCTCACTAGACTCAGTTAGGTAGTACCAGTGGTGCCGCCATATTCAATCCGGGACATTTACGGCGCGCGCGACCTTTAACATGCAATAATCACATAGAGATCTATATACAAATGCATGCAATCGATTCTCCTGCTACGTACGCACGCGCTCTCAATCGTACATGTACTTTATTTGTCTATGTGACTATGGGTACGTTTATGCTCAACTTTTTCTGGTCAGAATGAGGCATTTGTTACGCGTTTAGTTCAAAACACGGTCGTAAACTCTCAATAAGGTGCGTTTTGGATCGGCGATTCTGCAACCCCCCCCCCCTACTTTTTCAAGTACCCGGCATAAGTACCCCTTTTTTTTTTACATAGGTAAAGTAATGACAATTTTACTTTGTAAGATTTAAGTGCCCCTTTTACCTTGACAAGTGCCCTATTAATTTGTAAAAGAGCCCCTTCCCCTTCCCCTTTCCACCTCTAATAAGTGCCCCTTTTATTTGGAAACTACCCCTTTTCCTTTGACAAGTTCCCATTTTCCTTAGCAATAAGTGTCCATTTTACATTCTCATAATTGTGCCTTTTTTAATCTCTAGTAAGTTCCCCTTCCCCTTTTAATAACTATTAACTAGGATAAGCGTACCTTATATTTTTAAATGTGCCCCCTTTCCTTTTTAATAAGTGCCCCTTTTCCTTATGATAAGTGCCCTCATTTAAAAGAGAGCCCCTTTCCCTTCTTACACTGTCGCTCATATAGTTGGAATATTTTTTTTTTACCGCAATTTATGGAATTATTTTGACAATGATTTATTCCTAATAGATCTAGATAATAGTAAATATTCTCAGATTTTATTGAATAATAATTTGCCAGTGTTTGTTTTGCGTGACTGCTAAAGCATGTGTATGCTACTATGCTTATCAACTAGGGGACCTACGCACTAATTAAGTCATAAATGACAGTAATGAGGATTAATGCCCCACAAAAGGGCACTTATATGGCACATCGACACGGTTTTATTGATCCTGGGGCCTCACAGTTACGAGGCCATTGCTTGGCCACTGAACCATGATTGTACGCAGCGGGGGCTAGGGCAGGGTAGTCCAGAATCTGCACGGTCCTTTATAATTTCCCTACACACTTGATTCAAGCCGTCGAAGATGGCGTTGGATTTCGATGAATTATGCTCACCAGCCCATCCTGAGGACCGGGCGTCCTAATTTAAAGATCACGCCATCATCGGCTGGTAGCACGTAAGTAGGGAGAGGTAGCGTTGGTGTGGTGGAGATCAAAATTAAATAGGCCAGAATCTGGACTAGGGCTAGGGTACGTAGGGGGCAGTTCCCACAACGAAAAAGAAAATGCAATAAATTTTCGATAATTCGTTGAATTTCCCCTCGGTCCCCAACAGAAAGAAAGAAAAGAAAAGAAAAAAACGGTGTGCCCATGCCTTGAGCCATATAATGCATGGTCGTACAGAGGATTTTTTTATGTTGGGGGCCGGGGAAAAATTCAATAAATTCGTCGCTGTTTTCACGAAGTGACGGTAGTGAAAAAAAAATTGCATTCACTTTGCGTTACGATTTTCCTCACTACCGTCACTTCGTGAAAACAAGGACGAATTATTGAAAATTTATTGCATTTTCTTTGTTTTTTTTATTTGTGGGAACTGCCCCCTACCCTAGCCCCCGCTGCGTACAGTCATGGTTCAGTGGCAAAGCAATGACCTCGTAACTGTGAGGCCCCATGATCAAAACTGCATTATTCCACATTTCTCTGAAGAATTAATCTCTTAAAATATCAATACTGCTCTAAAAAATGCAGATTTTAAAGAAAATATCCAAAGAACAATTGTCACTAGTTTCCCCTCGAAATTAACTTAGTCGGTAGAGAGTTTAAGAAAGATATGTTGGCAAATTCGAGCTATTTGTTTCCAGGATGAATGGGTGATTAATTTTTCAACTTTGTGCATAAAAGTTGAGTTAGGTAGCATTTGAAAGATAAAATATTGAAATTTCAGGAATAAATAAAACAAAATTGATATCTCTACTATGTTGAAAGGAGGCTAATCACAAAGTTCAGACGGGGCAGTGAATTTAAGAATACTATCAAAAAGAATGAAGTCAGGGAAAGTCAATTTGTCAATTTCTTCAAGAAAGTCATGGAAAATCATTTATTCAAGATATTTGTAACGGTTAGCAAATTCCCAATTGGACTTCCACTGGGTGCATTTGCCTCAGATCAATTCGGTAACTTTGTAAATCAGCATCTCACGTGACCAATAAGTCATGTAAATTTACATGATCTGCTCTGGAACGTCAGGGAATTAGAAAATATGTAAGTGCATGAATCCTGTGAGCACAGGGGTGTCGCTAGACCTTTTTCAGTGGGGGGGGGGGGGGGGGGGGGTAGAGGCCAACGATAACCGACAAAACTAGCGACCAATTACCGACAAAATTAAATGTCAAATATCTACAAATTTAACCCTATAAACCCGGGGCCGAAGGCTAAATTGTTTTTCCTATGGACTATCTATAGTACTTGCATATGCGCAAATGGACATTTTCCTCGACAACATAAATGTATACGAATTATTTTGTCGACTTAGTCAGCATCGTAGCTGACATATTTTAATACAGGCGCGGAGATAGGATCTTATTTAGGGAGGGCGGTAGTGAGCAAGCGAATCACTTAAGCAGGGCTCCCACTTAGCCGAGTTGGAACCTCGAGTTGTGGCGAGCTGGCGCGATCTTATGGCAAGCCGTTGTATTATTAATTGATATCAATAAATCAATTCTTGTTATCAAGAAATATTTTTATGTTGTAAAGCAATGGTAATTCTTGATATTAAGAATTCGATTTCGTGATATCAGGAATTCGATTTCTTGATATTAAGAATTGAATTCCTGATATCAGGAAATATGTTTAAATGATAAAACTGCTTGCCATAAGATCTCGCCAGCTCGCCACAACTCGAGGCTCCAACTCGGCTAAGTGGGAGCCCTGCTTTAAAGAGCACTCATTAGGGGGTGTGGGTGATAGGCCTCTAAATTATTAGGAAAAGAAGACGTTTTATTGTACCTTTCTCGACTGTTAATCCTAAATGGAGTTCTCCCCCCCCCCCCTCCCGCGCGAAAGCTTTGACGTTTCATTAAATTATTTTGAAAAGAAGACGATTTGCTGTACCGTTCTCTACTGTTAATCCTTGTCTAAATTCAGTTTCTCCCCCACCCGCGCGAAGCGCGGAAGTTTTAGCGTTTCATTAAATTATCAGAGAAAGCAGACGATTCGTTGAACCTTGCTCGACTCTAAATCCTTCGTGAAGCGCGAAATTTTTTACCTTTCATTAAATTATTAGAGAAAGAAGACGATTCGTTGTACCGTTCTCGAGTCGTGTAAATGAAGTTTCTCCCTTCGCGCGAAGGGCGGAATTTTTGGCGTTTCATCACAATATAGAGAAAGGAAGACGATTAGTCGTACCGTTTTCGACTCTTATTACTCCCTATTCATCTGAATTCAGTTTCACCCTCTCGCGCGAAGCGCGGAAGCTTAGACGTTTCATTGAATTATTAGAGAAAGAAGACGATTCGTTTGTACCGTTCTCGACTCTTAATAAGCCCTATTAGATGTACTGTTTTCGACTCTTAATTCTTATCCGACTTCAGTTGTCCCCCTTCCGCGAAGCGTGAAGGTTTTGACGTTTCCTTAAATTATTAGAGAAAGTAGACGATTCGTTGAAGGATGCTCGAGTGCTCGACTATTCATCCTTGTCTGAATAAAGCTTCCCCCTCCCGCGCGAAGCTTGGAAGTTATGGCGTTTCATTAAATTATTAGAGAAAGAAGACGATTCGTTGTACCTTTTTCGACTCTTAATAAGCCCCAATAATAATTGTCTGAATTCAGTTTCCCCCTCTCGCGCGAAGCGCGGAAGCTTTGACGTTTCCTTAAATTATTAGAGAAAGCAGACGGCTTGTTGTACCATTCTCGACTCGTTTGAATGCAGTTTGCCCCCTATTCATCCTTGTCTGAATAAAGCTTCCCCCTCCCGCGCGAAGCTTGGAAGTTATGGCGTTTCATTAAATTATTAGAGAAAGGAAGACGATTCGTCGTACCGTTTTCGATTCTTAGTACTCCCTATTCATCTGAATTCAGTTTCACCCTCTCGCGCGAAGCGCGGAAGCTCTGATGTTTCATTAAATTATTAGAGAAAGAAGACGATTCGTTTGTACCGTTTTCGACTCTTAATAAGCCCTATTTGGTGTACTGTTCTCGACTCTTTCTTATCTGAATTCAGTTGTCCCCCTCCGCGCGAAGCGCGGAGGTTTTGACGTTTCCTTAAATTATTAGAGAAAGTAGACGATTCGTTGAACCGTGCTCGACTCTTAATCCTTGTCTGAATAAAGCTTCCCCTTCCCGCGCGAAGCGCGGAAGTGTTGACGTTTCCTTAAAATATTAGAGAAAAAAGACGATTCGTTGTACCGTTCTCGACTCGACTAAATGAAGTTTCCCCTTCCGCGCAAAGCGCGGATTTTTGGGGGAGCGTTTTATCACAATATAGAGAAAGGAAGACGATTCGTCGTACCGTTGTTGACTCTTAAACCTTGTTTGAATTTAGTTTCTCCGAAAATTTAAACCTCTCTTTTCTTTAGCTGATATTATAGGAAAGTGAAACTTCGAGAAAATACAAGTATTGTAGTTGTAGTCACTCTCGAAGTTGTCACGGCGGATAAAAAGTCACAGTTTGTAGGGAATAAAACTTGTCGGTCGACCGACAATATAGTACATCTCACCGACTTCAAACTTCTGCATTGATATAGTACACGAGGATCGAGCAAGAATACCGACACAGCTGACCCGACATAGCAACATATTTACCCGTGTCTTTCTTGCTCCCTCGACGAGACGACTCCACCCAACAACCCCTTTCTCTCTTTTACTCCCACTCCTCCTCTCTCAGGCTCTTACCTCTTCTCTCTCTCTCCTCTTTTTCACACCCGTTTCTTTTGTTTCCCTTTTACTTTTTTCCCCCTTTTCTTTCTTTTCCTTTCTTTCCTCTCATCGCTCTTTTTCTTTTTTCTCTTCTCTTTCTTCTCTTTT